ATTCGTTATTTGGTCAGAAGATGTCCAGAAGCTATTTGAAATGGCCTGAATGATTGAAACCTGTATAATCCTCTTATCATATAAGAAGGCATTTAATACTTCAAACGTATTTTATTGCAGTTTCGAATTATTTTAGTTCCTAAGTTAGTGAGCATGCAATTGCTCTACTTCATCTGAATTAGGCCATTTGTTTAGACAGATTTCGTGGATGTTTCGTCCTTTCCAGTAAGAAATATGGCGCTGCCTTATAGGAGGAAAATATGTTTATTTTTCAAATCACTCTGTAAAGTTTGTAGGTCACGAATGCAGCGGCATCACAGGGGTACGAATTCTGATTCCACAGCAGTACGAAAGACAAAAATAAATATTTTACTTTATTGTACAATTTACTCTCTGCATGGTGAGCCGGCTGAATATGCCGCACAGTGTCCTCTCCGGTGGGATGAAACGGTGAGGTTAGACACTGATCAGTGAATGCTACCGCGAGCTATATCTCACCAAGCGCTTCCCTCCTGGATGCTGATTAGTCTGTTGAAAGATGCCGAAAACGAAGGCTACATTTCAAGAAGATTGGCACGTTGAGTGAACTGCTGACGAGGCTCTCCAAAAATTCGTTGCACAAGGAAGAATACCGGAGCAGAGGCGTAAATGCAGAATATGGGCTTTCCAAAAATGCGGTTTATTTACAACCGGATGAAGGTTAGGATACGACTGCGAAACGTCAAAAGGATATCATCAAGATCTTGGTGTCTAGCTACAACACCTAAAGATATTCTCGGCGTGTGCGAAACCCGAAGACTCGTCAGTCGAACCTATCGCACAACTGAATATCAGCGACGAAACATTCTTTGGGAAATATATGAAAACCACTCTCGGACAGGCGGCATAAGATTCATCATGAAGAAAAGTACTGTAAGGCAGTATCTCATGTCACGTCGTGTCGAAGTACTAATTCTGTGAGTGAAATACAGAAGATCATTAAACATAATTGAAGCTTATATGCCAAAAGCGGCAAGCGGGCGATGAAAGGTGGAGCAGTTCTACGAGGAACTGGAAAGCGCACTGCAGAAGGCGACCACGTACTCAATGCCCAAGGAGATTTCAAGGCCATAGTAGGAAAGTTAATAATCGAGACAGAGCGTTTCATCAACCGCTTTAAAAGTGGAGAGCGTAACGAACACGGCTCCGTTCTTGTAGTAACCGCCTCTACATCATGAATGTCAAGTTTGAAATGGCCAAGAAGTGACTGTAGACGTGGAGTCGTTATGGAATGACCCTTAATCGAATCGGCGACGTGCAGGCGGGTAATAGCAGATGTCTGTCACTGAAGAAAAACATTTTTTGCACCAGGTCAGACCAAAGATTATTCTTCACCATAGCCACAATCGATGTCGCTAAAGAAGATCAGGTTACAAGGGCTCAAAATCCACCGGCCATGGCATGAATGTTAGATCCTGAAGTTTTTGCAAGTAAGTTTCATCCTATGAAACTCGTAATAGACGTTAGCGAAGACCTCACTGCAGAATACCAGCACCTCGTCATTACCTTTAAAACTACCGTCATTATGCTAGGTAGCAATGCCGATGATGAAGCAGCATACCAGCCCTGTAACGAGGCAACTGCTGTCTAGAAAGCCAAAATGAAAGTTGATGGACAACTGGACGACAAGCACACTGCGTTAAGCAAAGAAATACGAAAGACGATTTGTTGGAACTGTGACTTGTATAAAGGACAAAGATAAAGAAGGCAGCACTAAAGAAGAATAGCCCCAGGCTGTGGAAAAAGAGCATCCTCTTAAAAAGTAGATTCCGTTGGCACTAACTGACGAAGAAAGAACAAGAACAACAGATCATTGTCGCGTAAAGGCTATCTGCATGA